GGTGAGAATCTAACAAGGAAGGCAAATGCTTTGAATCTGAACAATCATTCTCCAGACTGTGCTCTGCTCTTAACCCCTGAAATAGCTGGTAGTGCTGTTCACATGGATACCTTTAAGGAAAGCACTGAGGAGCTGTGACTCTCCTTTCAGCTGGGTTATCTGTGCTTAAAGCACCTGTGAGAGTCACCCTCTCAACCCCTGCTGAAACACTGATCACAATGAGGAAGAAATTGAGCAGCAAAATGCCTGTAACATGTTTCTGCTCAAGCATCCTACAGCAGAGACAACGAGACCAGGCAGCACCAGGATTTTGTGCAAAATTAAAGGCAGAAAATCTAAGTGGACACCAAGGCACTGCCCATGTGCTTTGGATGAGCCAAAGTACAGTGGAGTGGCCAAGACCCTTGTGGATGTTAGATGTGAGGATGGTTATTTTTCTTAGCACCAGAATATGCACATGGTATAGAGGGAAACAGTCATCTCCACTGAGTGTCCCCTCTACTCAACCCCAGCCTGAGAAGAGTGCAAAAGTCTGTGGTTTGCATATTCTTTAACAGCATTAATTTTCTTCTGCACAACATAATTATATTTTTTGAAAAACATAGTTTAAAAATAGATTTCTCTTACATTCTAGAACCAAGCTCATTAGCACTTCATCACTTTTGTAATTCATTAGTTCCAATTTCCCAGGAACTGCCATGAGCAGTGATTTTTTTCGTCATGGCCAGAAAGATTAAACTCTGTGGGAAGCCATAAAATTGAAATCCTGCAAGAAAGCATGAGTTGGATGCACAACAGGAGACTCTGGCAGAAGTCCAAACCAGGGAAGTTTCAGCCCTTCCTTGATGAGGGGAAAACAACTGAGTTTCATGAAAGAATCACTAGGAAAGACAAGGAAGATGAAACAGACATAGGTTGACCAAGACAGTCCAGAATTTTGCAACCAAAAAGGAAACCACAGCTTAAACATCAGATGGAAGAAGCAGAGGCATGAGATTACAGAATAACTAAAAAGGCTTTGAGAAGATAAAACAGATAAACAGTGACAGTGTTTTACAAGAACACAGCACTAGAAAGCCATGCAGAAGGTCATCAAGAAATAACACAAGAAACAATGTTAGGGACAGACACTAGGAACTTGCAAACAAACAGAGCTATAGCAGAAAGGCACCAGACACACACTAAGTACTTCTACCAATGTAGTCTAAATTTCCCTCTATAGCAACATCCTGCTAAAGCTTTTTCTCTTAATACCACCATGAGCAGAGTGCATGAAAAAGGGCCAGAAGGAGATTTGCATGTGCTTGGGGAACTGAAACAACAACCTGACAGAACTACATCACACTCTCACGCATTGCTGTAAAGCACGGCAGGTAGGACAAGCACAAGTGTATGTGACAGACACAGCAGTCTCAGCACCAGAGCTACAGTAGTCATTGCAACCCTCTATTACAATACCCAGGACTCATTCCCCAGGGGCAGGAAACTGCTAACCTGCCCTACAGCCAAGAACATCAGTGTCTGGGAATAGGAAAGTCAGGAAACTCTGCCTTGGAGTGATCCCATCTTCATAGCAATCTTTACTTGCTGAGGATAGCAGAACAGCAGCAAAGCTGGCCAGTGCTGCTTACTGCGAAGGTCAGTGCAACCAAGGTCATGGTATCAAACCAGAGACTTTTATCAAAGGAGAGAAACACCTCTGTTTAGAAGACTATGGATTTATAATCTGAAAGTAGAAATAGAGAAGTGGAATCACACCCATGATGATAAATCTCACAGTTTGCCAGAATCTGGAAAGATGAGAGCATCTGAAGCACATCCAAGCAGGACTTGTGAGGATGGTTGTGTTCTCAGTAATACCCTGTCAACATAAGTGCTGCACAATAAGGTGTGCATATCTTTAAATTCACATGTCTCTGAAGGATTGCATAGATACCTAAAACAGTGAGTAGGACTAACAGTGCCATTAGAGAAGAAGAAGATGAAGTAATTGGGTCCCATGAGCCTGTGTAAGCAGGAAGATGGAAATTGGGCTGGTTTGACCATGTGACCAGAACAATGGGAATAGCAAACACAATTCTGTGGGGAAAAATCAAAGAGGAAAGGGTGGCAGAGTGCTCAGGGACAGTGGAGACTCAGACATCTGCATTTGGATGGAGAAATGATTGGGAGGCCTAAAGAGTAAAGGAAATATGAGTACAGATTCCAGTCAGTGCCTAAAGATGATACTCTTCA